CAAGGCACCACTGAGAAATGGCCCTCAGGCCTGGCCTTAGCTGGACACCTCCAGGGAAGGGCAGCCTCTCTGCCCCCTTCCCTCAACTTATATTCCTTTTAGATAGTTCTAATGAGTTCTTTCACACTTCTGTCCTTAGGGCCCAGCAGACCAGCTCAAATCCCTCTTTCTCAGGACATCCCTTCAAACGGCACAGCTGTCATGCCCACCCACCCCACCCTGCTGCTAAGCCTTCTCTTTGCCAGGATCAGCATTCCCTGCTCTTCTGACCAAACCCAGCCCTTCCTCATAAGACCTGCAGCCCTCCTTTGGACTGTCTCCAGTTCATCCTTATTGTTCCCCCCTCAAATTGTAGGGCTCCCAACTGAACACAACACTCTAAAAGAAATAGAAGGGAGTGATGGGGTCTAGGGGTATATTTTTGGTCTATGTGTGTAACAAGATAGCTTGCGGAGTCGATGTCTATAACTTGACTTCTAGATTGTACGTGATAACTGTGGGAATCAGTACATGATAATTCTGTTGATAAAAGATAGTACAAGGACAGTTCTACAGAGGTCAGCTTGTTCTTGTAATAGGGAGAGAGAGTTTGTCTCACTGGGCCCAGTCATGAGTTATTGCCAGAGACAGGGTGTTTGGGCTGGGGAGAAAACTGTCAGGGATAGTGTTTGGAGGCTAGGGAGAAATATGGTCTTGGATGTAGGGCCCTAGTATAAGCACCCAAGCACCCTATCAGGAGCATGGTGAGGTGGAAAGAGCACTGAACTGGGAATCCAGAGAGAGGTGGATCCCTGGTTTACTATCTGTGTGGCCCTGGGCAAGTTTCTTCACCTCTGGGTCTCAGTTTCCTCATCTGTAAAATGGGGATAAGAATATGAATGGGCTGTTGTGATGGCCAAATGAAGGAAAAAGGAGTGTACCCTCAAATGTCCTATAAACTCTAAAGTTCTACCTGGGCACCACTTACTAATTCAATTTACCCACTTCTTACACATCTTTGTTATGGGCAGGGTAGTGGGCTAGGGACCCGTGCCACAAAGACCTAAAAGCAATAGGTCTCTGCCCTCAGAAATCTCTGATCCTTCCGGGAGGCTGGAGTGAAGACAAGACTGGCCCATGCCTGGATTTCATGTTCTTCCCACGTGGGCCTCTAAGAACCCCGAGTTTCCTTCCAGAGCCAGCACCACACTGCAGAGGATTCCCTGCACCCCACCGCCCCAGCTAAAGGTGTGTGGCCCAGAATGTGGCACCCACAGCACAGGGAGCATAGACTACAGGTCCAGGCCCCTACAGAGGGGGGTCTCAGGGTTCCAGAGCAGGCAGGGGTCACAGCCCCTTCAGGAAATTCCCAG